GACTACAAATTATGTAGCATTTCCTGTGAGATTGTAAAATATTTTGCACTGTGGGAAGACTGCTATACTTCTGGCTGAGATTTTCAAGGCAGAAATATGTGGTAGACATGTAGAAAGCTGATGCTTCCAGGCAACACCCTCCAGTGCACATGCTGTAAAACCCACTTGGGCAGCAATCCTGTGGACTTGCTGAACGTGTCGATCAAACGTACAGAAAGTCTGATGGCTCCCAAAGATGTACAGGTACTGGACAGCTATCTGGTGTGTATGCTACACATCTTGTATGTTCTTGTTTTGCCGGATTTACCGCAAAGGAGTAGACCACCATACAGGATGTGTAGGATACTTGATGCTTCTTGGATATGATGCAGTCATAATACATGCTTGCTGTCTGCGCAGAATCAAGGGATGCGTCCAAGATTGCCAAATACTTGGAAGCCCTAGACAAACAAAACTCTAGAATTATTCATAGAAAAAAGCTCCAATTAGAAAAAGAGAACGTTCATGGAAATCCATGTGTACAATAGCCTTGAGAAGGAACGCCGTGGCCAGCTGAGACCTACAGTTACTGATAGTGTGTAAGTGGATAAATAGCCATTAGCTTCCTCGGGTGGTGAATCATAGACAGCTATAACCCTGTCTGTTCTTGATATTTACATCTAGAGGAGATGGAAATAGTCTTCAGGGTAATTCTTTCATCTTATTTTCATTTGGATTGTCTATTTGCTATTACGTACTTCTACTAGTAAAGGCCTGCAGAACTTGCTCCTTGCACTAGTATCACTGCAATGCTGCTGGAGGCACAGGACAAAAGAGTATCTGGCAGTAACTGGCTCTCATGACTCCTAATTGAAGTGATTTCTAATTTAGCCTGCCAAGAAGCACAATCAATTAAGCACCACAAAGCAAATTCTTTTTCCTCTTTGAACGTTCTTTCTACAAAAATATTAACTGTTTGCTTTAGCGCTTACTCTAGTCCAGAGACCTTCGTGGATGCTGGCAATGCAGCATCCTGATTCTCTACTATGCTACAGCCTGTTTGATCACTAAGATGTAAAGTGAACAAGGAGCCTAACACCAGTGCACATACACCTAGGAGAACACCCCTAAAGAGCAGCACTGCAGCCTGCAGTAGAGGATGCATGTCAGATGGGTGGCTAAAGTGCCAGGAAAAGACTTAATCATGAAAGTAACCTCAGGCATGCAAGTTAAGTCACTAAAGCCGCCACTCCTGTTTCTGAAATCAAGCATGTCCCTTGCTTGAGTCAGCACCTGAAAAGCTTCAGTCACCTTGTCTTTAAAATAGTGCGATACCTCATCTTCTCACAGCTGGTTTTCCTCTCCTTTCATGGGTTCCTCTGAGCACTGAATATTTAAGGATCCTGTATGCTGCAGAACTGTGGAACTGTTGGCCACACTTGGGAAGCAGTAGCAGAGACTATTACTCACCAGTTTATCTAAAGGCCAGACAAAAGCACCAAGGTTATAAAGCCAAGAAGGGGTAAAGAAATCAGTCACAACAGAACAGAAGGAAGAAGCTGCAATTCGTTACCGAGTTTGCTTGGGAGTTTTAAAGCAAATGGATGGCCACAAGCACTGACACTGACACAATGGCAAGCAGAAATCCCACCGCAGTATAAATGAGACTTTGCCAGCATGACATCTTATGTTTTAAAGCTGCTGCGTTTCTGGGAGCAGATGGCAAATTTCATGCTGATTTCAAAGGCTGCAGAGTCAGGCCATGGATAGAGGCCCTGCCTTTTCACGGTGCTCCGAATTTTGAAGCCCAGCAGCACTCTGTTAACGTGGCAGCATGCAGAATGGTTGGGTGCTCCACATTGCCTAATCATTCTGGTATGCCAGGGTTGCCGTCTTCTAAATAGAGGATAGCAGCTGAGCCTAATCAAACTAGATAAATGCACTTTCCAAGATCCATTTGCAGAATTAGGAAGCTATAATTAAGGCTGGGTTAGCATTTCCCATATGAAGTTCCACTTTTGAAGGTTCAGTCACTTGTATTTAAGACCTCTCTGCCAAGTGGCAATTTCACACAGAGGGATGAAAACCTTGAATAAGATCAACTCTTGCTCGCACTAATTTCAGTAACAAAGGTCTCACTAATTTCGACTGTACAGAATAAGGCCCAGCACTAGTAACTTATCTATAGCAGTTTAAAACTCCTGGTAGGGTGGAAATGTTAGTTTTTCCCAATGTAATTCCTATTTATTTTGTGAGCAGCTGAATGATATCCCAGCTTCTGCAGAGTGAGCAGAAGGCTAATGAGGCCTTTCACATCTAATCCCAGCCATATCTCCTTGCTGGAACAAGGATGTGCTGCTTTGAATGAAACCTGAGGTGTACCTGTAAGTCTGCTGGTACCAATATCAGAGCCTCACAGGGCCAAGGCCTTTAAAATGCCATACACGCACATTATCTTAATGAGCGTCAAGAAGAGAGAGGACAAGTTCTTCAAACCCAGAAATGCCAACTTTTTTTCTTCTACCTTTAATGTGCTGATTTAATCAGAGAGGGACTTTTATCCAGACGCTGTGAAGCTCTAGCTTGGATGAGTGCCTGAGGGTATGTCGACACTGCAGTCAAACCACTGCAACTCCAAGGTGATACAGGGGTATTCAAACCAGCTGCAAGTTAGTTATCCCGCAGCCATCAGACAAAGAGTAAAAGTGACAATTTACCGCCTGATCATTTACTTTGGTTCCCAGGTAGGCTTTTGGATCATGCTAAGTTCCATGCTGCAACAGCTACAGGTAGTCACTGCACAAAAACATACTTGGAAACACAGTGAATGCTTTCTGGAAGCAAGAGCCACAAAAAGCTTACGTTGCTGTCTAGATGTGAGGTGTAAAAAGGCTTAGATGGGTCTTCCACTATCATCTTCCTCGTTTGGAAGCACTATCAATCATCACTATGAACTACAGACAAATCTCTCATCAACTACCCGAGAAGCCAGGACAACTTCTAACACATGAAAGTTGCTGACTTTCATGAGCCCCTGATGATTTATACAGCCCTAGATGATTATTAACAAATTTCTTCAACTCCAAAATACAGTAACTCAAGTTTTTAATTCAGAGGCATCTCTTCACTGCATCCTGTTTAGACAGAATATGCCCTAGGATATTACACAAATTTCGCTAGTTGGATTGCTCAGAAAAGCTGGAGTTGACACAAATGGAAAAGTCAAGAAATTCTGGATTAAACTATTGTACACATCATCTGCAACGGTGCATTTCTTTTATTCTCTCCCCTCCATGAAGAAAAGACTGATGAAAAATAAGAATTTCTTGGAGTACAGACTCAAGCAAGCAAATTGTCATTCTATTAATCTCTCTTATTTCTTTCTGCACTATTTCAGGCAGCCTAGAGATTCCTGGGAAGAACAGACACTGAAAGCATTTTCATTTGTATTAGTTTGTGCCATAAATAGCTAGAAGGGTCTGCTTTACTGCGGACCTCTTTAAACCTTGTCCATCTGGTTTCAATCACATCATCAAAAGAAACAGCAAAAGTCTGCTTCAGAATAGCTGTTTCTTGTTCATTACAGTATTCAGTTTTAAGTAAATAAATAGGTAAAACTCACATTGCCTGTATGTCATTATCATGATCAGCTCTGATACCTGATCTGATCTCAGAGCACCAGTAAGGAGTGGGGTGCCGAGTGCTCTTCTCTATACTACCCAGAGTAATCAAGCCCCTTAAATATAAAGGGATGCGATGGGGATTCTAACATAAAAAGGCATGCTGTGCTCAGGGCAGAAGTCAGTCAGGTGCATTATAGGAGTTATAATATATGTTACAGCTATCACGCGTGCTGGTTTCTTGGGTACAGAGATGGTGGGAATGGCAGACCTGGAGATGCACTGCTGTGTAAGTGTATTTGAGATTTTACATGTGTGTTTAAAAACTAATCTAGAACAACTATACATCTGAATCCTCATCAAAATTGATACATGCTGTAAGGGCTTCAACAGCTGAAGGCAAGCTTACATTACATATTCCCAAATATTCATAGGGCAGACACTTACCCTACAGAAAACACTGCAGACTAAAAATGGAACAAAACGATTTTAAAAGTTAGGTTTAGGTTGAAGTACTTACTAACAAACCCTCTTTTTTATTCCTTATTTTACCTCCAATTACCTGGAAATTTTGTCTTGGCTGCTGCTTTCTGCTGCAGTCCCATAGTTAAATTATGCACTGGGTTTTGAACACCTTTGTAATGCTTTTCTTGTACAACTTGCTGGTCACAGGTTCTGACCCTCTTCATGCATGCTGGTCAGGGCAGAAGTCAGTCAGATGCACTATAGGAGTTTTAATATATGTTACAGCCTGTCTCTGGAGAAGCTAAGTGCTGCTGACCTAGACCTCCAGGTTTCCCAGCCAAGTGAACAGAGCAGGTCCCCGTAAGAAAAGCTTTCATGGGAACTGGACTAGTCATTGATGGAAGTCACCTATGATAGGTGTATCTATATATCTATCTATCTCTATACATCTACAAAGATCCTTTATTTACCTGACAACCATCATAAGAAAATGATTCGGAACTGTGCCATATTTAAACACTAGCTTCCTGGCAAATTCTACTTAGCTCCTCTCACATATTTTCCTCAGCTGATGTCCAGTCATTTTCTTCCTCCCAAGACTGATACTGTGAGATTGTACAGTACCTTTATTTCTGTGCTCTGGCCTTGAAAACATTAACTTACCCCGTTGGCTAGAGTCACACGGGTGAGCATCCCCCAGATCTTTGACTTCTGTAACTTTTTACTCCTTTTAATATTCCCCATTTCAGAGATTCTTGTTTCTGTCTCATCCGAACTCTGAAACTGTTTTGTTTTTTGTACTGTTCTTGTCTGTCCAACAACCCCCTTAGATCCATCTCCATGGTATCAAATACAGTCTCAAGTGATACTTACCACAGCTGGCAAAATGCTCACATAATCCCAATACAACAAATAACAAATCCAAATTAAAGGAGATAGAGGACGAGAATCACTTTTTATTGATTTTCAAGTATAAAACAAGAATTTCTGCATTTGCTTAACCAAAGCAAATGATCTCCCCTGTGGTTAGTTCCACCATTACCTCTTATGGACGTTTTATATCATCAGAGCACATTGTGTTTAATCACCCCAACATATTAACATCAATTTGTTCAGAGTTAAAAGGAATGAAACAAGTAAAATCTGTGACAAGATCCAATGTATAATTCCACTCTACATTCCTTGTAGAGGACCCCACAGAACATAGCAGCTCCACAGTCTTGCACTCGTTTGTGAACTGGATCCATTACGTGGGTTATATCTTTTTGCGTTTCTTACCCCTCCCTATGGATATTACTTTTAATGGCTCAAACATTCATAGTGCCACATAACTACCCTCACCCATATAGCAGGGAGCGTTACCTCCTGTCAGACCGCAGTACTCTTGCTCATGTCAGATATTGTCCTTCTGCACAAGTGTGCAGACACATTCCCCTGCCTAACAGGAACTCATGACCTCCTGCCAGACTCAGACTCAAGTGCAAGAACCTCCCATAAACTCAGTTTTTTTGCACCAAACCTAACTGCAGCCCAGGATCCCCTCCCAGCCCAATCCTTCTCTTCCATGGGTCTTTCAAGTGTCTTCCACAATTCACACTCAATGCCATTGGAATAACTGGCAATAAAGATCAACCAACCAGATCCAGGATTTCCCTTAAATATATGTAAGAACAAAACATCTTTCAGTGTATTTAACAACAAATATAAAAATAACCTGCTTAGTAGTACACTGAAAAGTAGTAGTTGTAAACCGTTTATAGAAGCAATGAGAAAGAGCTGCTTTGCTTTTAAGTTCAGAGCTCTAAGTCAGAACGTCAAATGCAATGGCAGATGAAAATGCAGGAGCAGATATAACCTCAGACAGGCCAATCTATACCAGTTCTGCATCACAGTCAGTGCAAGTTTTCTTTCTGATTTCAAGTTTCTACACAGTAAATGCATTATATGGAAGAACCTTTGTTGCTTGATTAGTCAGACGTAGCCTGAATGCTGGGTGTTGCTTTGAGATGCCAGCCAAACTAACATTGAGCTCCCGCCTAACGCTTTTTTTAAGCCTCTGATTATAAAGACTTACAATCTATTAATCCTGGAAAGCTCATTACTAAGGCCAGTCCTACTTTCAGTCTACAGGGGTGATAATATCTTTGCAAAGAGTAAAACTTTAAATAAAGAAAAAAATTAGACTTTTTTTTCCCCTGCAAGCACAAGTCTCAGTTAACAGATCATAAAAAATTACTGTAATTAACAGAAATTCAGTCTTTGAGAAAGTTTGCATTTTTGATACACTGCCCCTTTTCCTGGAGCAGAAGCTGAGAAAGTAACCTGTGACATTATGAAGTAACTGTTTTCAAGTGGCTTCAATGCACAGTGAGGCCAATCATCACTCCCACAATCAGATACTCAGTTTTGGTCCTTACAGGACAAGCTCTCTAACAACTAGCATGATGGTCAATCAAAAATGAAGCTATTATAATTGCAGAGTGCCAAAGACTTATGTTTCAGAACAGTATAAACCCCTCAGCTTTGTCACTTCATCCACAAGATCTAAGATTTTAATTCAAAAATCTTGACGTGTAGCACTTTGAAAAAGTAAGCAATTTTATCATCTGTGTTTCTGTGCAATTGGAAAATTCTGTGCAGCTAGAAAGCCTGGTATACATTCAAATGTATCCTGTTCATTTTACAATTATTGATATCAGAGTAATCCTTAAATGCTGAAATTAAGTTATAAAATCCTAATTGGTTCGATTGTTTACATGAAATACAGCTGTACCAGTTCCACTCCTGGAAGCCAGTTTAGTTTTGCTTCATGTATTGCTTTGCATCACCATTCTCTTCAACTTCTATTACATGTTAGAACGAGTCAGCCAGGGAAATTCCTAGAAGCAAAAAAACAAACAAAAAAATCAGAACAAACAAGGAATAGGAATATACGCATTAACTATCAGATAGAATCTGCAAGAAATAAAAGACTGATCACAAAAATGTTCTTTGTCTTATTTCCTCCGTCAGGAAAAGAACAACTGTCAACTCTGGAAACAGTCATTAAAGACACTATGCATTAATAAGAGCCAATGGAAAAAAAACAAGGAAAGCAGATGCTGTAGTGTAAAGGCACCGATTCTCCTGTCTTTCCACATTTGCAGAGAATTTTTTGCCTTACTTCTCAGTAGTTTCAGTGATGCTTCACAAGGATTTAACAGGCTTGCCTACATGAAGCTCGTGGAAAAAAAATAAAATAGATAAATACCTGTTTCTTTCTCTCAGATTGTGGATCAATCATTACATTTATAAGAGAAGGTGTTTGCTTGTCAGCCACACTTGCTTTCAGCGCATTCTGCAGTTCTTCTGGTGTTTTAACAAAGTATCCTTTACCTCCAAATGCAGACATAATTTGCTCATAGTGTGAATTTGGCAGGAGAGAAACAGGAGGCATACTGTAACAAAATGGAGAACTCTCTGATTAATGGCACTGAAGAATTGCCAGGATGACCGATTCTAATTATTTCGGCACCGATTTTAAAGCATGACATGATTCTTGTGCTGGCCTGATAAAGTCTTCTGGACTGGGAAAACTATGTTTCCTATACCATTTAAGCTATGTTTATAGGGCAGCGTTATTGATTTCCATGTTCTGTAGTTACTCTTGAGCAGGCCTTTAGCCAAGCTCTCTTGATACAGAGATCTCATCTCCAAAAGCAGAAGCCCAGTCCAAAACCACAACACAAGCTTAAAATATCAGGTAATTTTGGAAGTTATCATCCTTTTGGAGCTTAGCTCACTATGTACTCTGAACTGTGGGGGCTGTAGTGCCGCAGGAACCTTAAACCACTAATCGAGCCATCTCTCTGCTACACTGCTGTGTAATCAATAACTTGTTAAGAGGTTGGTTGCTTTTGGTAACTCCTCCTTATTTAGGTGAACTTATTTTAGGATTAAGTTCACTTCATGACAAATTTTAATCTGGAGCAGGAAACACTAGCAGTACAGAGAATGACCAATTTGATTACTTCTTCCTTAATTAACAGGACATATTTTGAAGACACTCACCACGTAGCAGGCTCTCCAAACTTCAACATCTCCTTCCAGGCATCTGTATCCAAACCAGTGTAAATGCCATTGTTGTTTACTACAATAATCAGGACTGGCAAGTTGTATCTACAAGAAGAGATAATTGGAAGAGTTTTTAAATGCTGACAACTTTCTGTAAGGTGTTAAAAAGTTTACTTCTCATTAAAAATAATATAATTTAGAAAGTCACTTCCATGTGAAACATAATATATTACCAGTGGTGAGTAGATCATGTCAGAAAAGTAGAAAAAGAAAAACCACAGAATCACAGAATGGCTAAGATTGGAAGGGACCTTTACACATCATCTAGTACAAACTCCCTGCTCAAGCAGGGTCACCTGGTGCAGGCTGCCCAGGCGCATGTCCAGATGGCTTTTGAATATCTCTAAGGATGGAGACTCCACCACCTCTCTGGGCAACCTGTTCCAGGGCTCAGTCACCCTCACAGTAAACAAATTTTTCCTTAGGTTGAGATGGAACTTCGTCTGTTTCAGTTTGTGCCCACTGCCTCTTGTCCTGTTGCTGGGCACCACTGAGAAGTGTCTGGCTCTGAATTCTTTATAGCCTTCCTTGAGATAGTTATACACATTGATAAAATCTCCCCCTCAGCCTCCTGTTCTCCAGGCTGAATAGGCCCAGCTCTCGCAGCCTTTTCTCACATGAAAGATGCTCCAGTCCCTGAATCATCTTTGTAGCCCTTTGCTGGACTCACTCCAGGAGCTCCATGTCTCTCTCATACGGGGGAGCCCAGCACTGGGCACAGCACTCCAGCTGAGGCCTCACCGGGGCTGAGGAGAGGGGAAGGATCACCTCCCTCCACCTTCCCAGGTCCTTCGCTGCAGAGCTGCTTTCCAGCAGGTGTGCCCCAGCCTGTACTGCTGCATGGGGTTATTCCTCCCCAGGTGCAGGACCCTGCACTTGCCTTTGCTGAACTTCACGAGGTTCCTCTCCGCTCATCCTCTCAGCCTGTCCAGGTCCCTCTGAATGGCAGCACAGCCCTCTGGTGTGTTAGCCTCTCCCCCCAGTTTAGTATCATCAGCAATCTGGCTGAGGGTGCATTCTGTCCCTTCATCCAGGTCATTAATGAATAAATTGAACAGGATGGAACCCAGTATTGACCTCTGGGTATTGTCAGGTACTTGCCTCCAACTAGACTTTGCACTGCTGATCACAATCCTCCGAGCTCAGCCAGTTTTCAACCCAACTCACTGCCTGCTCATCCAGCCTGTACTTCATCAGCTTGTCCATGAGGACATTATGGGAGATGGTGTCCAAAATCTTGCTGAAGTCCAGGTAGACAACATCCACTGCTCTCCCCTCATCTACCCAGCCAGTCATTCCATTGTAAGAAGGGTATCAGGTTGGTGAAGCATCGATTTCCCCTGTGTGAACCCATGCTGACTAGTCCTGATCACCTACTTATGCTCCACATGCTTAGAGATGGCATCAGAACAAGCTGTTCAATCACCTTTCCAGGGATTGAGGTGAGGTGGACCAGCCTGTAGTTCCCTGGGTCATTCTTCTCAACCTTTCTGAAGGTTGGAGCGACATTTGCTTTCTTCCAGTCCTCAGGCACGTCTCCTGATCACCATGGCCTTTCCAAGATGATTGGGAGTGGCCTAGCAATGACATCAGCCAGCTCCCTCAGCACTCGTGGGTGTAGCCATCAAGGCCCATGGACTTGTGTATGTTCAGTTTGCTTAAGTGATCCCTAACCTGACCCTTCTCCACCAACGGAGAGTCTTCCTCTCTCTAGACTTTCTCCCTGGTGTCCAGGGTCCCAGATTCCTTAGGGCCGCTCCTACAGCAAAGAGTGAGGCACAGAGGCATTCAGTACCTCAGCCTTTTCTGTGTCCTTTTCCACCACGGCCCTTGTCCCATTCAGCAGCAGGCCTACATTTCCCCCAGTCTTCCTTTTGCTATCAATGTATTTACAGAAGCTCTTCTTGTTGTCCTTGACGTCCCTCACCAGACTAAACTCCAGATGGAATTTGGCCTTCCTAGTCCCATCCCTGCACACTCGGACAATATCCCTATAACCCTCCCAGGTTACCTGTCTGCTTCCACCTTCTTTTTATGTCTGAGTTTTGCCAGGAGCTCCTTGTTCATCCATGCAGGTCTCCTGCCCCCTTTGCTCAGCTTCCTGCTTGTTTGTTTGGATGGACTGTTCCTGAGCTTGGAGGAGACAATCCTTGAATATCAACTAGCTATGTGTAAATGACCACAACTATATGTAAAACGACTATGTGTATGTTTTGGCTTACTTTACATGAGGTTTTAAGAACATCCCCTCTAACAGCAGTCTCCCTGGCCTTCTAGTTAACTTGATCGTGGTAACACAGGAAGAGGGTTTTCTCGAACAAAAATCAGCTACCTGCAAATAGTTTCCAATTCCATGCCAGAAAATCCAAAAGCACTATCTCCTTCTATGCAGATCACTCGTTTTTCAGGTGTTCGATCTTTAGCTACCATTGCAGCTGCTATAGCAAAACCCAGTCCAACTCCCATTGTTCCAAATGTACCTGCATCAAGTCTGGAGGATAAAATACAGAATTACTATCCCTTTAAGTAGAAAAATTCATACAGTTTGATTAATCCACAATGACTTATCTTTAAGAATTCATCATGTACAAATACTGTTTCATAAACAACTGGTAGGAAGAGATACTAGATGTACATATTATTATTAGCGTTTGTCCCTTGCCTATAGCGGCTGCCTTTTCAGCAGAACATTTGATCAAGATTGCAAAAGTTCTAACTGAGATGAACATATTTGAACTCTAAAATAAAATGGCTATTAGAAGGAACTCTTATACACTAGTAGTACCACAACAGAGAAAGAAGTATTCTTGTGTGCTTTTAGCTTGCATAGTAACAGTATTTCAACCACATTCAATTACTGTAGAGACAGGCAGACTACATGAAATCTTTCTGCATTTAATTCCCTGTAAACTTAACTAGAAGCCTGAAAGCCATCAGTTAAATCATGCTATTCAAATTCTAGTCTTCTGTTCAACTTTTGAAATCAAATTGCAAGCCATAATTAAGTTAGATCATTTCAGTCAGGAGCCCATAATGGATACAAAAGTACATAAAGAACAAGATTATTCTAGGGTTAACTTTTCAAATTTACTTTCGCATATTCACAATGCTATTTGAAAAGACAACCATCAATGTTACTATGTCCTTCTTTTAAAAAAAAGAAAAGAAAAAGGAGCAAACTCTTCCTCAAACTTCACTGGAAAAAAGTTTTATTCTTTCTTTACAAAAAATGTTTATTTATGACAATAAGCATTACTTCCATAAGGAGGCTCTAAGCTTCAAAAATCAGACCAGAAGTTTCACCTCAGCAGAAAGAACTCACTTTTTCCCCCCAGTCAAGAAACAGCGCTTACCTCCCACTTATAATCATTCTGTGTGGCTTAGCTTTAATATAGTAACATACCAGCACTTCTAAATTTGGGTGCCTACATTCTAAGCATGAAAAATTTGAAAATTAGATTATATATTGAGGACTTCCATGTAAAAGGAGTTGATTGATCTTAAATTCTCCCTATACAAATGTTATGTTTCAAACAAAAACTTTATACGAATTTGTTTCATGATAAGACTCCAAATTATTTTTAAGTTTTGGTTTTATTTACCATTCACTTTGAAGACAGATATAAACACTTAGATTAGGGAATTCAATACAATACTGGACAGGACATTAGTATAGAGTGGAACACTTAACCGCTCCCTCTGCTAAGAGGCCAACAACATATTGAACATCTCTTATTTAAATCCTTTAAAAAGAATTACAAATAATCTAGACCACTGTACTTTTTGGCTATGTGAAAACATTCTATATATAAATCTAGCCCATTGAGTCAGCACAACAAAGAAAATACCTCACCTTTGACGGGGATGATAGTTCGGAAGCATAGTGCGTCCAATGTCCATGGTGTTTGCTCCCTCACTTACCAAAATGCAGTCCCTGGGTATCAGCTCTCTGATGTGATGGAAAACGGTGTAATAATTCATAGGCAGCGATTTCTGTAATTCTAATCCCTTAAAAAAAAGGGATATTACTAACTCCTATGCACATATTTTAAGATAAGGTACAGAACTGAGATATGTAAATAATACTAGAAATAAAAATGTACTCTCCTAAGTAAGGTTGAAGAACTGGCCTCCCATGCACTACTTCAATGTTTGAAGCCAGCAAGGCCACTCTTACTGTACCTATCTATTTTGACAACACAAGGTATTTATGACAGGCTTGCTCAGGTCAGCAATCAGCCCTCTTGGCTTGCCTATCATCAACAGGCATCTACCATAACCTCAGTTTAACCGGAGATGGACATGAATTTATTCACACATTGGTTTGACTGTTAATAATCCTAAGTGAGTTGTCATCTCCGTCCTGGGAGGTAGTTCAGAAAGGGTCAAATTTTAATGCTTTTTTAGACAAAAATCTTTTTTAGATCCCAGGCTTGCAAACACACATCTGAACTTGCAGAACATGAGTTAACCTGCATAAAGTTAAGCATATGCTAAGTGTGGGGGGGATTTTGGCCTTAACAGCTACTTGCTTTTAAAACAGCTTTACTAAACAGTTGCATTAAGATCCACACAACTAAAGAAGAAAACAAAGAAAACATCTTCACATAAGTTAGCTTTCACTCAGACTACCTGTCCATTGCTTACAAGTCGGTGCTCATAACACAGCAGGTCTAGACGTGGTCTTCTATGAACCCAATCCAAAGGTCAATGACTTCCACACAGTATGGATTTAGACAAAGCATAGAATATAGACTTACTTTATAGTTCAAAAACCTGAGAACAGTAATTCTATACCAGAATGGTATAGAATTTCAAAGTTTGGCTGACATGAACGTCCTAAGTAACTGAGGAGTTTGGAAACAGATCAGCGCTAAAGCTGATTAAATATCAGTTATCTGTAAAGGGAAGAAACCTCCTCGTTTCTTTAATATAACACTACCTTTGATTTTTCTTCATTGTACATTATTTTCTCTCTTAGCCTCTTCCACCACTGGGAACTGGAAGGATATTTCCATGGTCTTTTGCTGAATTCTTCTAAAAGCTAGAAAGCATTAAACATATTGCATGAATTTCCTTCAACAAATCTAAAAACATCAAGAGTACCAAGAATAACATTACCAAGAAAGATCCCAGCCCAGTCACAGTTAAACCAAATAGAATCTTTAACGTTTAATCTGGGGCTAGACTGGATGCAGGGCATGATTACATTGCCTGAGAAATACCTTTTCTTGAACAGTTTTTTTTTTTTTTAAGCTGGTAACTTTCTTTATACAAGTCAGAGGAAACCAAGGTCAAAACAGGAGGACACCTGACATTACAGTACCTGCTTAGTCACGGTGCTTATGTCACCTAATAAACTTGCAGCTGGCCTCACATTATTCCCCAGCTCTTCTGCACAAATATCAATCTATATTTCAAAAGGAAAGACCACCATTAACTCAAGGATATCAAAGGGAAATTTTTTCAGTTCAAGTAGTTACAAACATTTTCTAACTATGCCTTTATGCTTTATTTGGGCTGCAAAGAAAACTTTCTCTGCTTTTCACTGTAGTGCCATCAAGAAACGCTTTAAAGTAAAACAACTATGATATATATCCATTTAATGAAAATTAATGTATATCCTTAAAACTGACTGTTTCCTTCATGCTGTTACACACAGCATAGAGCTTTATTACAATAACAAGGAGAAGTCGTGAGCTTCAGTGACATTTGTGTGAGAACTAAAAGCCTAGGTCTGACTATATTCTGAGAGTCTATGCAAAACAGTAATTTTCTTATTGAGAAAAATTTGTGAATGTTACTTGATGGTACGAATTTGGCTTACATGAAAAAAAAAAAAAAAAAAAAAGTAAAGCAAACTGTGAGCACTGAGGGAACTTCCCAGTCTTCCTTACCAATGATTTAAGAGACCTCTAAGGTTACGTGAAATACTAATTTATGATCGGGTCTCACTGACTGTGAGCTGAATTATTATTTTAATATTAATCCATGATAGCGGCTTACTATTATTCTAGAGAAATTCTAGTTTAAAACTTCATATTATTTTTATGGCAAATATATTAAGTTTGGAAGCTGAGATTAAGTTCATTGAAAGCAGGCCAGTCAGCACACTGAATCAACGACTGTTCTTGGATCACAGACTCTGAGGGAGGATTTTTAAGGACAATCAATATGATAACTTGTCCTTCTAAGAGCTGGCAGATTGCCAACTACACTAATGAGTTAAATAGTCTTTCTTCTTCTTTTCCCATTAACATTTCTGCGGGACTGGGCTCTTATAAGGAATGACTGACTCTGGGTTTGAAGGTTATTTTATTTCTAAAAGTCCAGCTCAGAGAGCAGTAAAACAGTATAAAGGCTTTCACAACTTTAAGTAGATTTGTTTTTGACCAATGAAACTCCAGTGCTCTTAGAGAACACATATATCACGAGTTTAATCCTGTATTACTTAACTACACAGAAGTGTCTGCCCCCCTCGTTACAGCAGGACCAAGTCCTTGATAGCTGGGGAACAATTCTGTAAACGATTTCAGAAAATATAAGGAGGAAAAAAACAAGGAAAGAATTATTTCTTCAGAACTGCTGTAACTATATGCATTGTATTGCACTGTCGATACGCACATATGACTTCTACCTGACAAAGCAGACTACTAAAATCATTAACAATTACTCTGGGCAATGCTAGAGCACAGAGGACTTCCTTCAAGGGATAGCAGTTTTCCTACTTACCTGAATAACTTTTACATCTGGTCGAAACCTTGGTGGAAGGCCAAAGTGCAAAATCCAGTTCAACCTGGCACCAAGCAATACGATTACATCAGCATGTTGTAATGCCCTAATAAAGGGAAATGAAAGAATCAGATGATGAGAAAATACTTTTAAATTTAACATTTTTTTCAAAACTAGAAGTAATCCTAATCACCACACCAAACCCAAGAGGAATGGACAAATAATTCTTTCTTCCTCTGAGCTGTTTGCCTAGCTCAAAAAAACCCAAAATCTTTCGTTCAATCATTCATCAAACCGTTCTTGAATTCTGGAACTTAAAAAAAAATTATTATTATTTTACTAATGTGTTGTGTTTAGGAAAGGATTCATTACACTGGAAGAATAGCAAGACACTATAAAAATGCCACAGAAAGCAAAATGCTCACCACTAGGCTACTGGCAATGGGGAGTGCCAAAATTAAAGAGTGTCTTGGACCTCTCCATTTAGCTCTTGTTAATTTGCCTTTCAGCTGGATACACAATATTTGGTATATTCTTCATTCTTCATTTCTTCTTAACAACACACTTACCAACGATAAAGCTATAATGCCCAACAACTATCAAATGTTTTAACCTCAAAGCATACAAATGCTCCAACTTCAATATGACTCTGTGCATACGCATACCTATGGGGGCTCTTAAAGTTCATTCACATTAATTTTGCCATAAACCAGAAAGAAGCTCTTATAAGCATGATTTTAAACAAATTCCTTCAATGTAGTTTGAGGTGCCTTTTTTTCCTTTTTATATGGAGTGCTATTAAAAGATAGTACATTGCAAACACCACAGAAATAAGGCACCAGGTAGCATAAATTGAATTGCAATGCTGCATTTTATGCTTCCATTTATGGTCTTAAAAAAAAAAAGCTAACAGTTTGTCTAGTGCACTAAGTTAAATATTTAATGTAAACTGCTCACTACTTTCATTCTATTTTATGAAATGCATAGTAACAACGTTGATACAGCTACTTGCCATAGGTTTCACAGTTACAGAATGTTAGCTCTCAGACAAAATATCTTCCTGGCTAGCGTTCTAAGCAATGTCAGAAGTAATCCACCTATATTTGTTGTCTCTTTCCAGGCAACATCTTCAGCACTCTAAAATGAGGTACAAAATGTAGCAAAAAACAACTTTTTGCTGTGTGTGCTTTGTCTTCCCTGGTATCTGTAACACACCACAATTCCTAGTTGTTTCCCAGATGTTAGGATTAGAAGCCTCGCTTTATATTTACATGGATCTTGCTGCAGCTACACAGTTTGGATGGTTATCCGGAACTACTCCTTTTGCCATCGGTGTAGGCAAAAAAGGCAGCCCACAAAGGTCCACCAACTTTCGGATGTTGTTTTCAGCATGTGAATAAGCAGCACCTGAACGAAACAAAAGAGACTGCTTAAAACTAACTCAAACTATGATCTTCCGTAACTCATGTTTCAGCATGGCAGTTAAATAGCTGTGTAACTTCAGTATCTGAACAGTCTTACCGACTTTTAAATACTCATACATTTGAAGATACAGGTATGGCTAAGAGCATTACTGGATTACGGCCTAAAACAAGGGAAAAATGTGATCCCAGAAACCTAGTGCACTCACCTAAATTTCTGTTAGCCTCAGTGATTACATTACTGGCAGAGAGAGTACTACTTCCTGTTATGAAGGCTGTCTGCCATTTTTTATTCTGGAGAACTCAAAACACAACATGCCAAACATTAGGTACTTGAGTTTAAATTTCCCACATTTTTGATGGAAGGTATTTCAAGACTTCAGTTGAAATTATTTAACCATTTTTAAGAGGCAGGGTAGGGAAAAATAAGAGGTTTTGTTCATCTTAAATGACACTTTTTTGGCGAGGTTCTGTGTTCTGGAGCAAACCTCTGCAGTGGTAACAGGATAGGGCCTTTGCGTCACGTGCTTTTTTGCTTGCCCTGTGCATAATGTTGTATCACATGTTCCATGACAATCTGCTCAAACTAGTCCGAGTCTTTAATGAAGGAAAAAAAAAAAAACAACAAAAAAGGTTCACAGAAAACCTAATGAGGATAACATGTTTATGCATACATTTACTTTGATTTACTTCAGTACAAGGCAGGTGAATTAAAGCTGCCCAGAAATTCTAGAAAAATTGACAAGTCCTTGTGCAATGAGTCTTCAATCCCGAAAAAAGAACTTCTATTTCTTTCAAAAATTGGCTGACAACAAAATATGGTGGAAAATATAGACACTTTTGTTAAGTAGATTTAAAGAAAACACATTTCTCCCTTGTTGGCATCAGCAAACATATCCTCATATTTTCAAGGTTTCCACCTTTAAGTGTCACAGAATATCCTTTTGTTCATATGTAACAAACCAGAGAGGAAAAAAAATTTCCTGGCCTACTTTATCACAAATATTTCACTCTGGTTAAACACAGAATCTCAGTCCTCAAGATGCAGAGCCTTCCATTTCCCTTCCACTTATGCATAGACAGCCAAGTCTGCAGGAGAACACTCGGAGTGAAACAAGCGATTTATTTTAATTTTGTTCCTAGTGCATCTGCCTCTCGAACAGAAAAGGTGTTGTAATAACTGCCATTCCTCAGGAAGGGGAAAAATAAGTGAACTGCACAGAGAATAATTACCTTTCATCTTTAGGGACACCTCCTTCAAGACTGAAATGCAATGACAGAGTACAATCTGAAGTTTGTAACACAGCAGTAACATCATCTATACCTGCTGTGTGGCTTCACATCTTCCCTCGTGGGTAGTCTGGCACTTCAGTAAATCCACATGGCAAAGTGACCTTTGGTTAGACAGCCTGACTCTTGCTATATATGCCAGAGTATTAGAGAGATGTAAGACAGAGAATATCACTTCCGTATTCTGAAAGAATTTGTTTGGAATATTGGAAGTGATCTGTGGGAACCGGCTCTACACTTAAGACAATGACTTCTTCTATTTACACATATACTTAATCAATAAATTTTTCTCTTAGTCTAGATAAAAAAGCAACATTTATGCAAGAGAAAATATTCTAGAAACAGAGGAGATGGACATGGCTAATGCTTATGGGGAAAAGAAATCAACTTTGGTCAGTACTCTTGTCCCATCCTTGTACAGTTCAAAGCTGCATCAAGGCATGCTACCTTTGCCGATGATTAACAGAGGCTGCTCAGAATGAGCCATGATAGACACTGCTTCGGACACAGCAGATTTATCAGCCATGCTGATGGGAGGGGGCAGGCAGCATTCTAGGTATCTGGAAGTCAAGGAAAATAGAAGAGGCTTTTTAAAGAAGATGTAATGCAAAATGAGAAATGTCTAAACGTAAAACCCCTCCCTTAGCATAAAACCACACAGCTGTTGCACACAATGTTAACCACAGCACTCGTCAGAACAGGATATATTTTTTAAAAACAGATGCCAACTTTATCTTGTACGTTTCTTTAATATTACAAGTAGATCTGTCCCAGAGATTAGAGAGTGGCATCATTGTATTAGCACCATAGCATTTCATTCATTTGCGCGCATTTCATTGCAAACTATAACCTATATGACATGTTATGATGGCAAGTTACATCTAGAGGCTGGATTTCAAGTACTATCATTTCAGCCTCGTGACAGATAATTTAATCTCTTGCTCTCGTTTTAACAGTAAAAGAAAATCAGAAGTAACTTATAACTAAAATTTCTTTATTCAACAACTTGAAAAATAATGGATGGAACCGGTACGCACTTGACAGAGCTCTTATTCACCTGAAGATTTACAAAATCCCCAGGTATGTCAATATAGCAGGAACCTGGACGACCATATATGCTGGTCCTTACAGCCTAAAAACAGATGACCACAGTTTTAACCACTGTTTGGAAGAGGAAAAAAACAACAACAACAACAACAACAACAACAGCTTAATACTTACAAAATAACAAAGAAAACCCTTCAGTATGTAGTGTGAAGGAACACGCTGTTTCATCTTGCAGAGCCACCACCAGGAAAACCCCCATGAATTGGTTTATACTAATAAATTAAAGCTTGGATAGCCATTTACATTTCTCCTTGTATGCCAGCAGAAGCATTCCAGTGGATACACAGTATTAGACTGGAAATTCTTTATTTAATTTACAGAAATATAACTGCATTAGTAGCTGTTGTATCTGGAATTACTAAATCAAACTTTAATACTGAATTGCTATTTAAAGCTGCATGAACCTGAGGAAACCCAATGCTTCCATCTTCTATCACTTATAACTCCAGCTCTTCTATTGTAGGTGGATGCTCTGCTCAAGTTGCACTTTTGAAACACCATTGCTGGACGCAGAACTTAGGCTGACATGGCTAAAGTGTTGCCACAACAGAAGCAGGAGACTTTTGTAACCCTTCTTGAAGGGCTGAGATAAGGATATGTTTCCTTTTCTCTGTCTCCAAAAAAACCCAATGCAACAACTTTCCTTACTCCTTCCCATTCACCAAACCTTCTGTAAAAACTCTCACATAACGAGAGAACACAGTAATAGAATTTTATAGGTAAAAGAGCTAAAGCTCATAATATTGCATTTCTAGTACTCACACCTCTCCCCAAGAGCATTTCTTTCATAAAATCTGTCCAGCTTTTACTGAAGCTAACAGAAAAATGCTGCAGGTAAAAGTAAAGCAGGTCCAGGATCTACTTTTAACCTGTTCCGTAATACAACTGGTAAGAAAAACCTCGCTGGTTGTTACAGAGAGATTTACTCATCAGCCCTCACCTACTAACATCTGCAGGATTGAACCAGTTACAGTAACAACCACTAAAAACAACAACAATGACACACGAGGGGAAACAACAGCCACTTGGTGTTCTGTTGCTAGTTATTTTTTCATACCTTCTCACAAACAGCAGGAATAACTTCTAGGCTGCTTGGGCGGACAGTTAATTTGTTGTACAGCCTGCCAGCTTCAACCTAAAATGAATAAATGCATATAACCACTATACTGATTTACTACACTGTTTTGCTTATTTCTTTCGCACTCCAACAAGAACAAGATGGAAGAGTGCCATACAGAAAACAAGCACAATGCAGTTCCTCATCTGGTAGAAACTGTCAAAGTGGTACTCAATGGAATGAGTGCTTAAGTACTTTTTCCAAAAGGTAGTGCTTATTTTCTTGAAAGTTTATTCTGCCTTTTACTACCTCAGAACAGATGGGCAACATCCATTTGTAACAGCTGAGAACATAAAACAAAGTATGAACTCTAGCATGACTGTGCAGACAAATACATTCCAAATAATCAGGTGTTATTACGCAGCTTCAATTTTAAACCAGTAGATGGAGCAAATCAACAGTATTTTAAGAGCTATTTGGAAATGTCAGTGTGGAGACTGTTGTTCCTACTAATGAACAAATACCACCGATTATTTACCTGAAACCTTTTTGAAGAAAGGTATAGGTCTGTGTACCTGTGGAAATTCTTGGAAAGCTCCCATGGTTTCCTGATTCCTGTCAGAAGAGCCTCCAATAACAATCAAAGGCCTAGAAAAACATACAAATATATAGATGTTAATTGCAATAATTCCTCTCCTACATCTATAAACTCTCCTTACATTCAAATCATACCGCTTACAGACTCTTGGGATGCTGTGCACCTTCAGCATCCACTGATCTCAATGGGAACAAAAAAACTAACCAATACCACACAGAAATGGATTTTTAGGTATCAGTTTGCCAGCTGGTAGTCTTCCTAGCAGCCTTTGGGTCACAGGTTTTAAGGACAGTCTGGCCATTTTAAATAATCCACATCCGGCATGAAAATTCCAGTCATATGGCTAGCATTTTTAATTAAAGTTTGATAACATGGGTGGCAGAGTGGCTTGAGAGAAATGACAACAGCTGATAGGATTCCATTGGTCTAAAAAAGTATCAGATACTTGTTTGTAAGAGACAATATAAAGTGCACAAACATTAGAACTAGGAACCAGTGGGAAACCAATCTTTTCAGAAAGACATTTTCTTTGTATACAATTTAGAACTTAGCACAAATTAGCTGAGCTTTCAACAGTACTTCCTCCTGCATTCAATTTTTGCAGAAAATATGGAAGACCAAAGAGATGAGCAACAACTTAACGTGCCTATAAGCAGTCCTGTTCATAACACTGTTTATATGCAGGTATAAACTAATTTGGTTTACAATACAGGCTATACATTCCTCAGGCATAAGTTTTTATTATCATTTCCACAAAACACATAAATTATCCTCTTATACTGAATGAAAAACAGTCTCTCCTTCAGTTTGCAGGTCAAACCCAAACTCCATGAACTGCTAAATACTCAGTCAGTAAGAGAAAGTTGGTTTATTAATCAACTTATTTACCCACCCTAAATCCAACCACTGAGCCAATAGCTGCCTAAGCTTTTTCTCTTAAGCAATTTCTCTTTAGATATAGCTTTTCCTTTGACTATATTTATCTATACTATGTGTTATGCTGAAACATTTAGAGCGTACTCAAAGGATAATCCTTGGGAATGTTTGGATCTAGATCCAAGCTTCACAATCAGGCCATTTCTCTGCCATACATCAAAATCTCAGTTCTAATCCTGTGACATACTGAGATTAGAACTTTAGTCTGTGTCTTGTCTCTATGAAAATCCTCAGGGAAAGTGCATTTGGTGTATTCTCTAGATATTTTGTTCTGCTGAGAGTACTATTTTCTGTTTTCTCTCCCCTCAGCAAAATGATAGGAATACCTATATATTACCAGCCTGTTTCACAGTGACAAATCCTATGCCCTTTTCACTTACCTTTTCCATATTTCACATTCAAATGATTTAATGAACAAAACAAAATAAATACTACTTCCCAACACTGAAATGCAATGAAGAGATGCTCTACTCAATAAAGCCAAGCCCATCAGCTGTACCTTGAAAATATTTGGTTCTGCTTTGAAAGCTTGCATAATAAATTGTAACCCAGAGAGAAGTTTCTCCCTATTCCTCCCCTCTGTGAAATAATCATACTGTTCTACAGGCACAATATTGTAAACAGCAGTGCTGATTACTGCAAGTAGTTTAAATTAAGCCAAGAACATCAGCAAGACAGGAAGAATGTTGAATACAATGAAACTAATCAGAACAGCAAGCATTATGTGCTTGCAGGAGAAGAACTTCTGCTACACTGACAAAAAATCTCAATTGTAACCTCAGATAAAGAACAGCATTTCACCATGTTACTATACCGAAATTTTCCTACTATCCCAAACTCTTGCTTGGGGTCTATGCTCACTGCCATGCATAGACAGTTTTTAACAAAACAAAAACTAACAAACAAAAAAAAAACTTTCTCTCAGAATGCTGCTAGAGAAAAGGCAGTGCTGTGAGTCATTTTTAATAAGAAATATCAAAAGGTTTTGCTATCAGAAACGTAGTCTGACAGGGCTTCACTAGCTACCTATGGGGCTAGGTTTACATGTCCAACAGCTCACTGTGATAAGCTCCCAGGGTGAAATAAGGTCTCTTCCACTGAGCCAACCTGTGCTCAGGCAATGAAATCTAAAAAACACAATTAGCAGCAAACTGTGCTGTTAGAACTGTGCTAGACTTCCTGCCAGTCAATATAAAAGTTTTTTTTTTTTCACCTGGAGGAGACTGAAACAGAGAGGAATCGGAAGAAAGGGTCTCCAAGCTCAAGGAGGGTAACTTAAGCGGAGCTTTAAGAACTGTGACTCAGTCTGAGTAACTAAGTCAGAACTGGGGGCCAGTTTGGCTAGAAGCTTACCTCTGAAAATTAAGATGAAGCTCAGTCACACTTTCCCATGCCAGGTGTAAAGCCGTGGAATAGCAAGACATCTGGGAGTTATTCATAAGGGCAGACCTTGCCCTACAAATTGCTCTCCTTATGTCTCTCCCTTGCAAAGGACTGTATAGAGACGGAGATGCAACATCTTGCTGCCACAGAAAGGGAGGACATCTCCCTGTCTCCCGCTCCCAGCTGCATATCCCACCCCCGCCTGGGTTCTCATGCTTGCCTAACTGCAGAGTGAGCCAGTTTATACTACATACGTAACACAACATTATTTACTTGCTTTTGCTGGGTTAGCTTTTTTGCCAGAATAACAAGCTGGACATGACTATTGGGGCACACAAGTGCCAGATCTGTCACAAGCAAAAGCAGCAGGAGTGCATGGCCAGGAGAAAGCAACAGAGATCGTATAAGCTTATGGTCCTCTTGGTCACATGTAGTATATTAGATTGGTCTAACCAAATCCCTCAGTGTGTATTGTATTTTCACCATCACATTAAACAGGAATAAGTCAGTGCTGCTCCTGAATGAAGCGATCCTCTCTCTCACTTTGCTTTAGTCTACTCATTCCCCACCCTTGCAATACTCCTTCTCCTTATTGCCTGCCCAAGTATGCATGCTGCTGCTTAGTGAAAGATATTAGGAAGCCCATCAAAGGTAAAATTACCTCAAGAGAAAAAGTCCTCGGAGTCTTCCCCCCGAAGCATAGCACCATTTCTTACACAGTAGTACCAGCCAAAAGTAAAGTATGTTTGGGATTCACAGTCACTTGCTGGAAGGTGCCTCCTTCTCCACTGACTAATTAAAAAGCCAAGGAAAATTAGATTCATGAGGCTAAATTTAGCTTTTGTGAATGCTCACTTCTCTCCCTTTGGCACACAGCAGACAAAATGCAAGCCTGATGGGACTAATGAAAAAACGACTGATCGAATGCTGTGGTTTGGTCAGTGAAAACCAACCTTGTTCTCATTATATTGTCAAATCTTCTGCCAAACTAGATAAGCCACTCCTTCACCTTTTGCCAAGAGTACAGCTTTATGCAAGATAAAGTCAGGTAAACAAAGCTTACAGATGTCGGGAAAGGGAAGTGTCCCCTGCAAATCAATAAGCAAGCACTATGAATGCTTTTTCCTTGTAACCAAACATACGACTGTTCAAAAGTAAAATTTTCACATTACCTCTTTTATCTAAAATCATATAAGAAAAGCAAGACTTTGGCCAGTAACGTGTTTTTTTTTTTTAAAAACAGTTTGAACACCAGAAGTCTTTTTCCAAAGAGTCAGAGACTTCACTTGTTAGAACTTCCATTATTTAACCCTTGTCAGTCAGCTATTTAATGCTCCAAGTCACATGCATCTGATACTACCTGAGCTTCTACCCAAAATACTTCATACAGCACTTTGAACAGCTTTTAATGGCAGGCCAGCTGAAGTTCCTATGTGTCAGTGAACACTTGTGGGAGTAAATGCTATCATTCTGTGCCATCATTTATCTCAAGGCCTCAAGATGTCTGCGTGGGGAATAAGAGTGCATTTTAACAATGTAGTTGTCAATTCGTTCACATATGAAAGCAAACACAGTAACTGAAAGGCACAGTAGCTTTTTAAATTCAGATCAACTACTAAAACACTTCAATGATCAATAAAGCATTATAGGCTGAATATCACCTTCACTTTAAACGTATCCATGGAATCAGGTATTCTGATAGATTTTCCAATATATGCATAATATGGTATGAGAAAAAGGAGAACTTTATCCATAAGAATATGAACAACTACATCAAATTACTTTTAGGGTACACAAGTGAAGAATTCATTTCAAATTGTTTACTACAGGAGGAAAAAGGCCTATACTAAATAGATCTACCTCTGCAGCAAACAAAAGCAAACAATTATTAGAATTTTAAAGAGAAAATGTAGTTAAATTACCAGCAGTTCATGCTTGCATTTGCCATCCCACCAAGAGCGTGCAAAAAACCTGGACCAGACACTACAAGACATACTCCTGGTCTAGAGACAATGAGAGAGAGAAGTTAAGTGAGCACATGGAACACCAACCAGATCGTCAACAAAAATTAGTAAGATGCATATTAAGTATAAATGTATAAAATGTTAAATTTTTATTCATCTTGTCAAAATGCATCAACTACAAGGGATTTGTATGAAGGACTAAAGACAAGGTAATCAGAAATGATTTTTAACTATTATCCAACTTACTGAAAAAGCAAGTGAACAGTTGTAAAGGGTCACTCACACAGAGGTCTACAACACATGCAGCCTCCCCCTATTTAGCCTTGTGATCATACATTCCCTTATTTCTTCTATCACTTCTGCTCCATCATCTAGAGTCTATATAAATTTGGTAAGCCATCTACATTTTCAGTTTTATTTATTCCACTTTAGCACTAGGTATCAATGAGGAAAGCTCCCAGAGGAAGAAATGCATCTGATTCAACATAAATTTTGTTATAATTTAATTGATAGGTAGAGGAACTTCTTATCTCAGATGATGAGATGAAAATTATCTTTACTGAACATTCCTTAGTAGGCTTACAGACCCTTTACATAGCATACCAGAAAAATCAGCTTCATTCCTGAGGATTATTCAAAGGAAGAAAAACTACAAAACTGTATTTCTCAAGTGCAATACCAGAAGACAGAATAAGGAAGGATCATCTACATCATCTGCTCTGCATTTGCGAGTAGGCAGACACCAAATGTTTACATTAAAAAAAGGATCCATGAAATACCCAAGTGCATCCCATAAATCACAGGCCACACGATACTTCCCAACAGGAAGGGAATAGGGGAGACTGAAGATAGGTACTCCGTCTCTGTTATTTGCTGAGTAATATCCCCATACGATGAGATTAAGGTACAACAGGTCCACCAAGTTGCAACAAACAATGGTAGGTTCATTTCTGCCCTTCATACGTATGGTGCTAAGCCACCATTTAGAAATTAAAAGGGAAAAATTAAAGAAATGTGAGAAGATTGACAGTATTTTATGTATTTAAATATTGAGGTTGAGCACCTCCTTGCTTGCGTCCCGAGTCATAGCAACGGAAATATTGATAACTGTGCTGACAATTATTTTGAAATTAATATTTCATTTTAACTGCCATACATCTGCACATCTAAAACAAACCAATATCATAACAGAACAATGTTCCTAGTTTCCTGGAACATACCTGCCAGTCAAATATCCAACAGCGGAGGCAGCATAACAGGCCTATTGAAAATATTGTGGAGTTAATTACGTAATTATCATTATACAACCCATTTCATGATACGTTATACACAACTTTCACCAACAATAAGAAAATAAGCAGGTATAGATTTTTCCCTGATCATTAGAGCTTATATTTAAGTAGAAGCACACCTTCCCATCACCATCATAATGTGTGTTCAGAAAGGCTTATATGAAAAATCCTAAAATTCACCTCCACATTTCAGGCTCCTGCTGTTCAAGGATATTGCATCAGGCTTATTTATGATTTAAAAACCAAACAAAGCCAGACACCCCCCTGCATTGCCTCCCCTTTCTCACCCCTTCCCCCTGCAAACAGGGAAGAAAAATGAATGGAATAATGTAGGATAATTTTCCTCTGCCCTTTAGGCTAACATGGAAGAGGGATTCACATAGAAAGGCAACCAACAGAAAACTGGTAATCACAAGGTATGGAATTGCATACTGGAAAGATCATTAAAAGATCTGGAACTGTCTTTTATAAGCTAAGTTGCTGCAGTACCTCACTCCATTTCTGATATCATACTTTGTCTTAGCTACTTTGACATTTTTAAGAAAAACTGCATTTCAAATAATTCTCCATAACACCTAAAAGATGTATTAACACAGCTTATCAATAGCTTATGTTTTTATGCTATCTTCGATGTAACATTCATCATTCAGATATAACAACAAGACAATAGGTGATCAAGAAGATAAACAGAAACTTACTGCTGACCCAAGAGTTTCCAAAGGATTCATACATGTGACATTGCCAACTCCCTCCCTACTAGTCTCACATTTTTGTCTTGCATCCAGTGAGTTCTAACGCTTAACGGGGAATGCCACTTTTTTAAGTAAGTACTCAGCCTTCTAGCCTAGTACCATCATTCTGAAATAGAGCTGAGATTCTGTTTTTTACTTTTGTGCAAGTACTGCTGCAATAGGAGGAACAAATAACACAGAAGCTCCTCAGAAAATTTACAAAACTACTGTGCATCTTCCCGAACCTATGACTAATTCCAGGTAACATAGCACGTTAGCAACACCAGCTTAAATGAGTGAAAACATACACCTACAATACACTGTTATAACGAAGAAGGAATGGTCCTGAACATCATCAGACTCCTACAGATATAAATCAACTGTCAGAGTAAAAATGTGGGGCTTAGTAAAGCCATATAAAGCACATCTTATTTGCTTTTCAGCATAGGGATAGAGAATTGTTAACAAAACAAAGAAACAAACAACAACAAAAATATATAGAGACAAGAAAAATCTCTTTTTACTCTTTGTAAATCTCTGGCATGGAGAAGAAAAATGTCACTGATATTAAAGAATTAGGTAACAATTTGATGACATTTCTGTGTGAATGTTTACAAATTATATTTGGAGTCACCGTTACGAAAAATCTTGTTAATGGGTCTCAAAGCACGGTGTCAAGTTTCCACAGCAATAATGCTTTAAAACTAAGGGGCAGAACAAAGCAGCCCACAGAATACTGGTTCACGTACAGTCATTACCATTAAAATGTTTACTGCTTCATTCTGCAAACAAGTAACATGACTAATGCTATCTGTATTTAGATTATATCATCAATAATTGTGCCAGCATTCTACTGCAGACAGTAAGAATATAACTTTTTTCCCCACCTCCAAACCTTGCTCCCCCTTCCACTAAAATGTGAGTAATGGCACTCATCTGTTAAGACCACAACACAGTTGACCAGCTGGATTCAGATCCTCATCTCTTCAGAGAGGCAAGAAGGACTTGGCCATAAAAAATGCTAACAACCACAATCAACACTAGGAAAAAAAAAATGTAGAAAGCCCAGATGTAGCCACTGAACAAAAAAACTTGCAATCGCTCATGTGAACATTGGGTAAGAACTGTAGCCAAAGCAGAGGCCTGTTGCTCCCATACAAGTAGAAGCACACTAAGCATGGTTTAATTAAAATTAGCTTGCTCTCAATTTAAACATAAGCAAACTAACATAGCATAACTAGTAAAAATTGTTTAAGCGTTTTTGTGTCCAGTGGCTCAGTAAAAATAGTACTGCCATCACTTGGAACAGGCCTCCAGCCTTATGCTAATTGTACCTTATGCTAAATGTTCCAGGCCTGGCCTGCTGGGCTTGCATTCAACTTGTTATGAGAACTTGCTGTATGAACATGAACTTGGTATGAGGTGTCTTTGGTTATGATGCACAGTTTAACCGTGGCATGTCAGCAAAGACCTTGAAACTATGGGCATAGGTTGAAAGCAGAGGCCCGAGGACAGCAAACAACTTGCCGATAGTCAATTATTGGTTACTGAAAAAGGGCAAGTTTGAGAGTTAGGAAAAGACAGCTTTGGCTTTAAGAAAAGCAGCAGCTAAGCAAGAAAAAAAAAGTCCCCAAAAACAGATGAGCAACAGGATAAAGCACCTATCTGGGCCTGCAAGAGTAACACACACCCAACATTGCACAGTCTATAGTCCAGGCACAGAGGCCAAGGGCTAAGAACTGTTTAGAGAATGAAACATCTTACAAAATGAAAGATTTCGAAAGTGAGGAGTGGAGAAAGAAGATACCCACATTGGTTCCAGCTGCTCTTATTCAGGAGTTGTTGAGCCTGATCACCCGGGTGACTAGGACCATCAAGGGATGCAGCCATCAGTGCTAACTACATGGCATCAGTTCCAGGGTACTGTACACTCACAGCTAATTCTGAACATGACTGATTAAGAACAGGCTGCTTTCAATACGTAGTGATAATAACCAACCATGATTAAGTTCAATACGTAGTGATAATAACCAACCAACCAACTAACTGTTAGCAACGCGTATTGTTAATGTACTTATCTAGTAAAGTTGTTGTTTGAAGTTTAAACTGACCTGCGTTACCAGTCTGCTAACGTTCCAGTAGAGTGATCTCCAATTACCCAATGTATATACACAGATAGACACACAGACCTCTCCTGGTTGCAACACAGCTATTCAGTATTGCAGGGGCACAGGGGACATGCGTGAAATTACTTCCAGCAAATTTATATCATGTGATAGTCTGTGAGAGATTAACTAAAGGATATTGGTAGTAATAGTAGGCTTTTAGCTTCCTGCTTTTTAACCTGGTCCTTCTAGTGAAGCAGTTTATTCTGCAAAGGGCCACTTGCTACTTCTGGCCCAGAAATGAGGCAGTAACTCAGCCTCTGGAAAAAGCTTTGTATTTTCCATGTTTCTTAGGTCCTATATACCTGCCTTCACCAATAAAGGAAACATGTCCTCTACAGCCAGACCATACAACTGATAAACTTAAACAGACAATTACAACTATGAGATGTGTAGGTATTAACTGCATCTTTAATATACTGTGAACAACCACAGGTCCTTCTTACCCTTTCATGTGCCAAGCAGTCACTCTATGCCTTCATCAAGGACAAAAAACAAAATAAAATCCAACATAAGATCTATCTTTGCTCATCCTATTCCATTCCCCCATGAAGAGATAGTCTTAGGCTTTTATTTTTAAATAACTCTTCAGGCTACTGTTATTTTCCTAATCAGAAATATCTCACAATTTACAGAGCAGAATGTTTCTTGTCTCCTTTGCTCTAACTAAAAAGATCCTACTAAACAGTGACAAATAAGGTAGCACCCCTTTAAGAGTGAAAAGCAATCATATGTTAATTACAGAGAAACAAGTGAATTAACTTTAAGCATGCTAAAAAAAACCCACTAAAACTAGAATATTTGCTAAATGACCAACAAAAATATAAAGACTGTGTTGAATTCCTAATCCTTCAAAGGAAATAGATATATCTTTTAAACATATTAGCATATGTTTACCTATCTCATATGTTAGATACATGTCTTTATATGGATTGTCTGTATTTCTCTGTAAGGTCTCATACCAATACAAGGATGTAAAACAAAGGATTACACAGCAAAAACATACTGTTCATGACCAGCCGATTTTGGGGAACTACTACTGTAACGTACTGTCAGCGTGTGGGGCAATCTATAAACGTTATGAGCCACAAGGTAGAAAACAAGAAAAGAATACTGATGAAAGATATAGGCCACTGAATACTGTGAAGCTCTGATACATCAGAAGTTGTTTGTAAAAGTGGAAAATTCTAATTAACTGTGGTAATAGAGAGATAGGATCCACAAATGAGTTAAAACATAAGAAAATCTCCTGATAAACATCAAAGAAATTATTTATTCATTGGCACCAGCTATGGAAGACTGACACATGTAGCAGAGCAACTCTGATTATGGAAATCTGATGGCCCATTTGCCAATAGTTCAATATAGATGAGTCAGGTCATGTAGAAATCCTTGAAAAACAGCTATAAAGCCGAGGTCATTATCTTCAGCCTCAGATCACCTAAGAAACTACTAAATGTTTGAAGAGTTACCACCAGGGGGAAACCAAACAAACCAACCCAGAACTGGCGGCATATCAACAAACCCTGATGAGCTCGAGTCTAACTTCTGATACCTAGGCAAGCTAAAATACATATAATTAAGACTGTGTAAGTATATATAGTGTTTTATTTTAAGTATTTCAAATGATTTACAACATTCTATGTTTCGTTACTTGGTGACGTTTTCAAAACTCAGTTAAGCAAAAAAATATATTAAAATTATTAAAAACAGCCAGGATAAATTTATGAGCAGGAAAACCTTCCTGCTGGGGCACTGCAAGCACAGGACAGAGACAGCAGTTTTAAGGCCACTAGGTAATAACTTCTTCTGAGCCAAGCACGTTTCTAAGCAAAAAGGAAAGAATCAGCTTCGTACCTAAGAAAGCCCCCCCAAAATTGAATTAAAATACTACTAGAGACAGAATAACAATACTACCAATTTGGAAGAAAAGACATCAGTCAAAGGAAATGACAGTAGAAAAAAGTTTAAGGGAGACATATCTTGGGAAAGATAGCTATAGAAAGGAAAAATCCTGGATGAGCCACCACAAAAAGCAACTGTTAACGTAAGACAACACGATACCTAAAAAGAGACAAAACTGATCCTTGCCCCCTCCCACAATGCAATGGCAATGCTTTGTTCACATTCTTTTCAGTCCCATTTTCACCGCAGCTTCTCCCTTATTGGAGAAGGGGGAAAAAAGGCACCTAAAAATGGAAAAAATTAAAAATTGCAATTCCCTTATTACAGGAAAAGGAGAAAAGGACCTAAAAATAGGAGGAGGGGAAAAAAAAGAGAGGGGAAGAAAAGAATCCAAAAGCCAACCCACCAACACTCTCATTTAATTCAGAATTACCCTAAGTGTTTCTCTATGGGTTGTCTAAAATAATAACCAGAAATTACCTGGCTGAGACTACATCTCTTCTACTAAGAGAATGTAAATTAGACTTTTGTCTATTGTAAAACAGTAAAAAGTAAGAAAGACTGGCCCAACCGCATATATACTTACAGCTTGCTCATTTCTCATTCCTATATATTTTATTCCAATTGCTTGGGCTGCAATTGCAATTTCAGTGATGGGAATACCAACAACGCCAAACATATATTCAATATTCTAAAAAGAAAATTGTTAAAAGAAATCACTATTATTTCTAAAACATAGCTTTAATAAAAAGGTATCAGACATGGCCACACTAACTACGCAAGCAATCTAAAAGTCTTAACAACCTATATATTCGCAGAAAAGTAAAGCTTCACGCTTTGTAGAGTTACCTTTTCATTAGAAATTCAGTGTCAGAGAAGATGAAAACGCAATTTGCTTTAGGAAAATACATCCAGAGATCTTGTCTTACCCAGTTCCAAGCAAAGGAAGACTCAACCCATTCCTTCATGCAATAATATTCACCTTTGGAAGTTTCTGATGTTTAATTCCTTATCTGAAAAAGCCCTACATTATCAGGCTGTTGTGGGAATTTATACGACTGCAGTATGTAGTCCAGTCCTTTGCGATAATTTCACAGCTCGCAGACTGACAAAGCCCGTGCTTTCACAGCGGCTCAGCCCAGCTCCTCAGTCAACATGCGTTTAGCTCTTTTGACCGACCACTTCTTTCTTGGGATCTCCCTGCTCTATCACTCTCTGGTTTCCCAGTATCTCAAGAAAGCTGAAATCTCAGCTCTACTGCTTCTGAAAATGGTTAATTTGGTTTCATGTTCTCATGCTTTCACGAAGAATTAACACAAAGAAAAGTCCTAAGAAACAACTGGCACGATACCTTGCCCAGACATACGCTGACAGAGCCTGAGCAAGAGTAATGCTCATTTTTGTTACAAATGAGCTAATTTTTAGTGCGTCATAGTCTAAATGGAAGGTTTTTTTATTTTTTATTGTTGTGAAAACCAAGGTCAGTTCTGCATCATTTCAAGTTTACAGACAATATATAATTTTGACAGCCGTAAAAGCAGTGCGCGAGGCATAGGCAGCCACCGCGTGAATGGTGAAAGAGGGTTATCTGTCAGCAGCGCTGATGGCAACGGTGGCATCTAGTCAGCTTGAAAAGGCACAAGCTTAACCCAAGAAAGAAGTAAGTGAAAGATTCAGTAACGACTCAGGAAAGTCACACAACCGTCCGTCAAAACCTGCCTGCCATCAGCGCACGGATGTTCGCGTTAACTATTAACGGACCCAACACAACGCAAATGATTTACGAAAAACGCCCAGGGACCCCCCCGAGTTGTGAGGGGACCGGGTAGGGGTAAGCGGACGAGCTGTGAGGGGACCGGCTAGGGGAAGCCGGCGACAAAGCGCCTCTCCCCTG